CGCTCCAAGGAGGGGCGGGCTGTGCTCACAATCGCCTCAACGGAGCCCTGGCCACTGCTGACAGCATCTTAGTGAAAGCAAAGTCAAAACCCCTTCCAGTTATAAATGTAGCACATGCGTGTAAAATATATGTGTGTGTGTGTGTGTAAATAGGGGTCTGCAAGTGGCGGGGTGGTTAAGGCTGGATTCCCACAGGGCCGACTGTGGTTCAAGTTCTGGACATGGTAGCTTGCTTTTTTGCTTTCCTTTTCTCTATCTCTCTGGTCAAATATAATAATAATAATAACAAATGAAATTAAATAAATAATTCTTTAAAAAAAAAATATATATATACCTATAATAAAATAAAGGTGTCTCTAAACCAGTTACAGAAGAAAAAGGGCCAGCAGGCAGTGTGTTGGTTGAGGCCGCTGGACCTCACTTGGCCAGCTCGGCAGCAGGATCCCGGGGCTGACGCTTGGGAAACACGCCAGGTGTGTGTAAGTGCATGTGTGTCCAAAATCCCAGGAGGGAGAAATGGAGAAAGGATTGCAGTGTGACCATGCCCCCTGGGCGGTGCTTTCCCCTTTCCCTCTCTTTTTCTCTCTCCCCATCTCCTGTGAACACAAGCACCCTCTGGCAAAAACTAAATAAGTACATAAGTAAGTTGCTCATCTCTTACCATCGAGCCACCAGCGTTAATACCCTGACGTAAATGAGGGTTTTCTGTCTATTTCTTAATACAGCTACTTTCCCCATTTTAGCATTTTCAATAAAAAAGTGAATCGATTCATTGTTCGGATTTAGAACACAAAACACATCTCGCTTCTCAGCAAAACCACTGGGCCATCTTCAGTTATTTCTGCAGTTCAGCTTGTAGAAACCACAAAAGGAATAGCCAAGCTGAACTGTCCTCCAGTGAACTGTGGACTTCAGACTCAGTTTAGGAGAGGTTAGAATTTAACCATGTTATTACCCTTTTTTCCTACTACTGCGTAAGCCAGGCCACCCAAGGTTTTGTAGCCCAAGTTGCATTCTCCAGCAACTAAAAACGTGAGATGGGACTTCAAGGTATCATTTTTACAAACAATCGTCCATGGTACAAATTATTCTGCAATAAAATAAAAATACTCAACACCATATTCATCTCTTGTGTTCTAGCATGCATTCCTTTACATATGGTAAAATTAATTTGGTGCCATGGGGGCCTTGTCCCATCTTTTTTTATATGTATGTCTTGTTTCTATTGTAGATTGTAAGCACCCCAAGAGCAAATAAGTTAAATAATTGTTTTAAAATTTGCTATAGGGTGCTTGTGGCCACTGGAGAGATGGGGTGGGGGAGTGAGAAAGCATCCCCCCAGGGGGGCTGGCCATGCCTCAGTTCCTTCTCCTGTTGGGATTTTTGGGCACACACACATGCCCAGCAGGCTTCCCAAGCCACTGGGTCAGGACTCAAACAGTGCAGTTGGGCCTGTGGGATCCAGTTGCCTTAACTACCTGGCTACTGGCTGGCCCACTGATTTAATTTTTAAAATTTCCTTCCCTGTTCCCTCCTTCCAGCCACACACCAATTAACAAGACACTGGAAACAAAGCAGATGGTTAAAATGTTCACTAAAGGAATATGGTCCAGCCACAGGGGCGCGTGCTGGACACTGCTGCTTGGCTGATGTCACATGGGAAACTCGGGTTCAAGTCCAGCACCAGCCTAAAATGCCGGACACATGATGCATGTCTCCAGTTCTTGCTACTCAGGAGGCCTGGGCGGGAGGATCACAACAAAGGGAGAGCCTGTCTAAACGAATACCCCCCTCCCCCGCACGAGCATGCACCTACACAGAAAATTTTATTGAAGAAATAAGTGAATGTGCAGCATAACACAATCAACTTTGAAAAACATCTTCATTCCCTGATGACAAGCTGTCTGTTACATGCTAAGGACATTTCTTACAGGATTGGTTTCAGTGGCTCTCTTGAGGTTATAGAATTATGGGTGATTTTGGTTTTGTTCTTGATCGTTAACAATTTTTTCTAACACACAGATATTTGTCTTTAAAAATATTGTAAATTACCATTTGGAAAGCAAAACGAATCTATGGAAATAAGCCCTGAGGGAGATTGTTTGGGGCGGGGGTATGGATGGGAGCAGCACCGGCAAAGACAGCTGGGTGCTCCTCAGTACGCGTGACCCCATTCTTCCACGCGAACAGAAGGCCCTGTCTTTAGGAAAGCCAATACAAAGTCTGTATTTCTCCAGCCTCCGCCACTCTTAGTGTGGCCAATAGCAGCAGTGCCACATACTAACCCCCAGGAATCTCCCTTACAGACACGGATATAGAGGGTTAGAATTATATACACAGTGCTAACACAATACTCTGTGATGCTGGTCTCACATGGGAAGGTCTTAGGCTCAAGTCCCAAGGCCTCCCTATGCAGGCCAGGTGCTTGTGCTCACGATCTGCACTGGCTGAGGTTGCGGCTGGATTGTGGCATGAAGACCCCATTGGGGGTGCGACCTGCCTCATGGAGGAAATAGTGACTTAAAAAAGGTACAGGATCGGGAACCAGCAGTTAGCGTAATGGCTATGTCACTGGACTTCCACGTAGTCGACTGCGGTTCGTGTCCCGGACCTGGTGGCTTAAAATTCACGCTGGGCGCGTGTGTGTGCATGCCCAAGATCCCGAGAGGAGAATGGAGGAGAAAGGATTGCGGCGTGACCATCCCTCCTGGGGGGTGAGTTCTCGCTTTCTGTCTCTATGTCTCTCTCTGTCTGTCTGGCGAGCGCACGCGCCCTATAGCAAAAACCTCTCCAAAAAAAAAAAAAAAGTACAGGATGGTTCTTTGACCTCCTTTCTTCTTCACTCCTTTTTCCATCCTGCTGCCTAGAATGCAGATGTGATGACTGGAACACAAGCTGCTATCTTGGACCCTGAGGTCACACCCATAGATGGAGGAATGATGTCCTAGAGGGAACCTG